GTGGCTAAGGGACACTGTGGCCTCTAGAAGCTAGAAGAAGCAAGGAATAGATTCTCTCTTAGATCCTCCAGAAGGAAGCAACTCTGCTGACACCTTGATTTTATCCCCTTAATACTCGTTTTGAACTTCTGACCTCCAGGACTGTATATGATAATACCTTTGTATTATTTTAAGCCACCAAATTTGTGGTACTTTGTTACAGCATCAACTGGAAACTAATAAAGCACCATTAATACAATCATATATAGGAAGAAACCTAACTCTCCTGTTTTTACATATAATGTCATCTTAAGCATTATGATTATTTTAAAAAGATCCTAGGGCTTCCCTGGTGGCGCAGTGGTTGAGAGTCTGCCTGCTGAGGGGATGAATTGGGAGATTGGGATTGATATATATACACTAATATGTATAAGATAGATAACTAATAAGAATTTGCTGTATAGCACAGGGAACTCCACTTCGCTGTAGAGTAGAAACTAACACAACATTGTAAAACAACTATACCCCCCCGACCAAAAAAAAAAAAAAAAAAAAAAAAAAAATATATATATATATATATATATATATATATATATCCTATATCATTTTAAGGTATGCAGTTTGTGAACACTGACATTCTCAAGTGTGATTTGACTTCATACTGGGACCAACTTGTCTTCCAAGAGAAGGCATCTTTCCTTCAAAAATGCAAGTGACTAATAGGATCTGAAATACAGAAACTTCCTTTATGAGCAAAGGAAACTAAAGAGTTTAAGTTTAAAAGTTAAAGTTAAAAATTATCTGTGATGGAACAACAATCATTAATGTAGGAGTGTTAGGAGTCACTCAGGATTACATAGTGGATAATTCCCAAGCCATTAAATGTAGATCAGGTCCTGGGCAGGAAAAAATTCATTTGTTTATTTCACAGAGAGCTGCTCCAAGACTGAATCACATGGGTCTCAGCTTTATAAGGTTTACATACACAATTGTTATTTTGCTGCTTATAATTTTTAATTTGAATAGGTCAGGAAATGTGGTTTATCTGTAGTAACTTAAGTATCCCCTTTAGTTTTTTTTTTTTTTTTTTTCTCTCACCTCTGTGGCATCTCCTGCCGAGGAGCACAGGCTCCGGACGCGCAGGCTCAGCGGCCATGGCTCACGGGCCCAGCCGCTCCGCGGCATGTGGGATCTTCCCGGCCCGGGGCACGAACCCGTGTCCCCTGCATCGGCAGGCGGACTCTCAACCACTGCGCCACCAGGGAAGCCCTCCCCTTTAGTCTTTAGTGTGCTTTTCAGAGTGGTTTCTTTCTTTCTTTTTTTCAGTGTTCATTTTATTTTTTAAACATCTTTATTGGAGTATAATTGCTTTACAATGGTGTGTTAGTTTCTGCTTTATAACACAGTGAATCAGCTATACGTATACATATATCCCCATATCTTCAGAGTGGTTTCTGATCTTCATTTCTTCCTGGGGTAGGCAACACAGCTTAGGAGAAAGATTCTGGGCTCTGGAGTCCAGAAAACTTTCCCTTTAATCCTGACTGGCTCTACTCAGTCGTGCCTTCTGGTGGACATGTTACCTAACTTTTCAGAGTCTTGTCTTCTTCTATAAAATGGGTATAGTAAAATCTGCTCCATGAGTTGTTATAAAGATTAACATAATTCACATAGAACTTGATAAGTGATGCTGAGAAACAATGGACTTGGAGTTGTGTTTTCTAAGTTTATAAGTTTGTAACTGAGCAATTATCTGAAATATGGTACATGGGACAAACATGGAAAGAAATAAAGAACACTTAGTAACACCAGCAGACACTGTTGCATTTTTGTGAATTAATCCCAAGCATCTTTCTTCCTTGAACCTAGCATTATTGTTCACAAGTGATGGAAATACTGAAAATGAGTCACTGTGCACCAGGTAAGCCTGGCCTTGACCTTCAGCTGCCAGGGCTTTCACTATTGAAACCCCACTGTGTTATTTTCTTCCTCTGTAATTTTGTAATCAGTTCTGTCTTGATAGGACATGATGAACTATACAACTCCATCCTAGTAAGCATCTTTACTTCTATTCTACAAGCAGTGTCCTTTAGCAATTATTATTATAATTTACAATCTTAACTGTGTAAGAAAAACAATTGGGATAGTATAATTTCCCTCAAAGGCATTGCAAGTACATTATTCATACAAATAAATAGAATCTATGTAATACAAATATATATTATATAAATATATATGATGTGTGTACATATGAATATCACATCCTTATACTTTATTTCTCTATATACCCGTACAGTTTTGTATAAAAAAATATCCTGAAATAATAACCATCTGTAATATCCTCTATAGCAGTGGGTCCGCAGAGTTTAAATGATTGATGTCTTTCAGAAATCTCTAGGCAACCAGGTGGTACGATTATTAACCACTCGCAGGAACTTGGCTTCAAAGTGAATCTGTTAGGATCAGAATCTGTACCATCCATATCCAAAGCACAGAAAGTCCTGGCCACCAGATGTCACCATTCTTCTATTTCCCTCCCAGTGCCCAAAGAGGGAGAGAGATGTTATTTTTCTTCCAAGGGACTGAGGGAAATACGTGCCTCCCAACATTCCTGGCATTTCACCTAAAAGTCTTATTAAGAGGAATCATCCTGTCCACGCACATTTCCTTGCGGTTCTTGATCGTTACCTGGACACTTCCTGACAGCTGAGGATCTAAGTGGCTGATAATTTGGGGCTCATCTGGTCAGGAATTGTTAGAGCCATTGCCTCCAGCTTGAAGTTAAAGGTAGGACTGACCTAATGTGCCTAGAGCCTAGAGTAACTCCGTGGAAGAGGTGCTACAGGGTGTGTTCTACTAAGATCCTGGAGACGGGAGACCTCCCCAACCAGCTGGGTGGCCCTGAGAGCTTACTTACAAAGTGAAGGACTTGGACTAAGTCATTTCTAGGGTCTAAGAATTCCATGATCTTCAGGTTTTAAATGCCTCTGCTGGGAAGGGTGGGCAGCAGAGTAGGGTGATCTGAGTTTAAGAAAGAAGACCCCAGTGGGGACAGTGAAATGGGGGTGGAGAAATTCTGCAGGGAAGGTAAGGGAAATTTGAACATAAACCTTCATACAGTGACTTGATGTAGTGACTGGTTACAGGGCTTGGAACTTGATGGGGTTATGAACCTTGTAATTTCCACCCCTAGGTAATTCACCAGGTCACTCTCATTCCATTCCAGATACTATACTTAACAAGGATCTGTAATGCTTAGCGTTGTAAACGTACAGCATTCTCTCTCCTGGGGCTTGGTTGGATTTAATATGTGGTGTCAGTCAATGTTCTTTGTGGTGCCTTCAGGGCATGGGATGTGTTTTATTTCCTTCTGAATTTACAACAGTACAGTGTTCAGCTAGCCAGTCCAGAGTGTTCATAAAATCCGGGGGCGGGAGTGGGAAGGAGAAAGAGAAATGGAATTCATTTGTTGAGTGCCTTCTATGTGCCAGGTATTGCTAAGTACTTTACATATGTTTTATTTCATCTTCAGAATAACCTCAAGAAGCCCCATTTATTATGTTTGTAGATAAAGAAGTTGAATTCAAATGGTTAAGTGGGTTGCTCAAGGTCACACAGCAACCAAGTGGCAGAAACATACTGCTTCATAAAGCCCATTCTACAAAGATGGAAACTGAGGCTCAGGGCATTGATTCAAGCTGCCCGTCCTGTAGATGGTTGAGTCCATAATCTCCCGTCACTGGGCTTAACTGCTGGAAGGCCCCTGGCGCTGAGAGGCCTGGACTGCACCTCTCTGGAGGATGCATTGTTACATCAGCATTTGCACATTTGCCCCTGACCTTGCTAGAATAGTATTTGTGGCCGCGAAGTGTCTCCCTTGCTCCCTTCGGGTTGCGGAATTGAGAGGTTGGTAAGGTCCTCTCCGACAGGGTTGGGAGTTTGCAGACGGCCCCTGAGAGGCTGGGGCGTTCCGAATTGGCTGAGCGCTCCGCGGGGAGGGCGGGGAGTTTGCCGAACGTCCCCGGCCGGAATCCCTGCCTTAGAGAGCTGCGAGCCCAGAAGCGGGGAGAAGTTGGAGAGGTCGGGAGGGGAGGGTAGGAAGAATTTGAAGCCAGACCCGCGCCCTGGCCAGCTGAGCCCCCGAGGAGCGTCTCTGCAGTGTCCAGGCCGAGTGTGGACGCGCCGCGCGCGGCCCCGCCAGGGCTGAGAGTTTGCAGACCGTCCCTGCCGCGGCCCGCTCGGCGGCGGCCCTGCGGCTTCCGCGGCGGCCCCGGGCTCGATCCAGCCCAGGTAGCCCCGCCGCAGGCTTGGGGTGCCGCGACCCCGTGCCCCGCGGAGCCTTGGGTCCCCCAGGGGACGGCAGCTGGCAGGCACTCCCGGCTGCTGCTGCTGCTGCTGCTTAACAAGGAGGTGAGAGCTAGTGGGTCGGGGCGATCGCGTCGAAGCTTTCCATCTCCACAGGGAGATGAACGCAGAGGGGACCGCGGAGGGCGCGGGGAGCTGGGCGCGGGAGGCGGGGGGAGAGTCTGCTCCGTGGGCTGCGCGGCTGGGGGCTTCCGCCCGCCGCCCCTCCGCCGCCTGCGTGGGTGCCCCGGCCGCTCTGAGACAGCCGGGAGTGCAGCCGAGGACGCGCCTGGAGGCGCCCGCCTGCCCGGGGCCACCCCTTCTCAGGGGACACTGCAGGCCCCCATGGCCCCTGGGAAGTGGGGGTTTGGGCTTTTCAAGGGACTGTCCGGGGGAGGCTTTGGTTGCGCGGGCTGGAGGCGAGCGGCCAGGGGTGGTAGAGGGGTGCTCGGACCGCGGAGGAGCCTGGTGGGGTCACGCTGCGGGTGTGGGCCGGGCTGGGGTCCCCGGGACCTGGGCGCGCAGAGCGGACTCAGCCACCGGCCAGTGGGGAGGAACAACAAGGGAGGCTGGCTCCCGGCCCCGGGGGAAGGGGGATGCGGCGGGCGGGCGCTGTGGTCCTGGGGACCAGGGAAGCCCGGGGGTGCCCCCCACCCCTAAGGGACCTCTGTGGGCCCATGATCCGGCCGGCGCTCTCCGGAGGCTGCCTGGCCGGAGAGGCTGCGGGGAGCGCAGAGCCCACACCCGCGCACATAATCCCCGAGAGCATGCTCAGTGCAGCCCTGGGAACTTCCTGCCGAGTCGCGAGCCGCCCCGGCCCCCTCCTGGCCCCCTCCCGGCCCGCGGCTGGCAAACTGGGGGGCGCGGCGCCCTCCAGTCGCCCTTTCGCGTCCCCTCGACCCTTGCCTCGCCTTTGCCCGGCTCCCAGCGCTGCTCTCGCCGGTCGCCCCCGCGGCCGAGAATGGGGGCGTGGACGTTACCCCAGCTTCCCGAGGTCAGGTCCGAGGCCGGGTGGCCAGAGGCCTGGCGGTGAGGCCTCTTGATGGGGGCACCAGCTCGCGATGCGCTCGCCGCGCGCACAGACCGGGCGCCGTGAGCAGACCGGGTGGAAGGGGGTGTGTGAGCCCGGGGACGTTCGCTCACACGCTCGCTGTCACACACAATGCCGTGGTTTCGTAGCTGCCGCGCGGAAGAGGGAAGAGGTGGCGCTTGCATTGCCGGGCCGCGTTTGGAACGCCAGCAGGGTGCTGGGCGCTTGGGTACTGCGGTAACCTGGCGACGCATAAGGTTTTCAGAAATGCCGGAGTCGAGGTCTGTGGCCGGGTACTCCTGACAGTGACTGCCAGGCCTGACCCAGGGCGGACGCCTCTGTCTGCACCTGGCTCTGGCGGCACAGTTAGGGAAGGCTGGGCACTTCTGGGGCTGTGAAGTTGAGGAGGGGAAGGGTGAGGTTTGTGCGGGGTTCCGTGGCATGACAGCGCTGCACCTGTAAACAACTCAGATCCAAGTGTTAGAGGTAGGATCTCATTCTCTAGAGAGGCAAGTGGGAAGCTGGTGCGCCCCGCCCCCGTTCATTGTCAGGACCTGAGGGACTTGGTGGGTTTTTACTCCGAGAGACACACCCCCTACTGCCCACCTCCCCACACCCCCTCCCCAGTTTAGCTACCCACATCCTGAGCCTTGACTCAGGATCAGAACTTCCTTGTCTTTGATTGGAGAAAATCACCAAACTGTTTCCCATGATAGTCACACTATCACAGATCTTTCTTAATAAATACATTTTCGTACCACCTTCCCCCCCCCCGCCCCCCCCCGCCCCAAACCACAGATTCTTTTTGCTGTTATTGTTCAGGGCTGAGACAGGCTCCCTCAAATTTGTTTGGCTTGGTTAGGATTAGAGCAAAAGGCCTCTCCTTTCTAGAGGCCTTTTTAGTTTCTCCAGTTAACAACTTGATGTCCGTGCAGTCAACTTGAAAAGGAGAGGCCCTGAGCAAGGAGGTGACGGCAGAGCGGGAAGAGGGTGACCTTTTTGCCTCTTGGAGGGACGGGGAGAAGAGGTGAAGGATGCTGCTCTGCCCCAGTCCCTGGCTCTGGCAGAGCTGGGTGCCTGGACAGAGGTTTGGGCTTTTCTTTTCTTCCCCGTCCGTTGTTCCAGCCCACCTTCCTGAGTTTGGGACACTTGTGACTAGAGTCACTGGAAGAAAGGCGTCTGCAGTCCTGCTTTGGGGCTTGGCAGGGTTCACACCTACGCAAGCAGCTGCAGGTTGGTTTTAAGGTGACTGTAGTGGCAGGAGGGCTGGTGGCTCTGCTCAGATCTGCCAGTTGCATCTGTGTTCCAGCCTCGTGGGCCTCTGAATCGCCTCAGCAGTGCGCATTTCAAGTGCTTTGTGTTTGGAAGTGTGAATATAGTACTCATTTATATATGTTCACACACCCGTATATACGTTTTTATAAAGGAGCATGTGCATATGTATGTGCATATGCAGTGTTCTTTGGTAGCATCTTGGAGCTGGAAGGGACCTCGGGAGATCACAAGAATTCAAATTTGCTACCTTCCTATTCAGTTTTCTCAGTTTAAAAATAACCAGCCAGCCTTCTGCCCAGCTGGCCTCCAAAAACATTGCAACAGCAGAGTCCCCCTGTGATCCTAGCCAAGGGGGGGACGCCTTTGGTTCCTCCACTGAGAAGTAAGCCTCCTCGCGATCATTCTAGATGTCACTCTGATATTTGACATGACTTTTCCTAATGTTCCATGTGGTTCGGGATCTAAGTCACTGCAGAGTCACTCTCAGGTTGATTTTGGGTGGGGTGGGGGACAGACAGTGACCAGTGTCCCCTGCAGAGATGTCTGGAAAACTGCCCAGAGCAGTTTTCCCACCCCAAGTCTTGCTTGGGTTGGAAAGTTGCTGTCCTTTTGCACTCTGGTCCTCTAGGCAGGTAGTTGCTCTGCTCCTTCCCTAGAGGCCTAAAGAGCAGTGAGGACTCTTATTCCGTCCTCTTTGTGTGTCTTGGCTTACTGGCTGTAGGAGGGTGGCGTGGTGGTTGGAGGTGGCGTTCTGTGCTGATGTTGTCACAGTAGCTATCCGGAAAGCCTGTGCTGTCAGGAGGATTATCTCTGGGGTTTGTTATGGGGGATGGCAAAGTTTGGGGAAGGGTCCCGGTGTCAGGTGACACCAGGTGTCTGCCAGAAGTAACAGATAGTTTTGGCTGAAGGAAGGTGTGTGTGTTTCAGAATCTAGGTACTTTAGGGAATTCCCTGGCTGTCCAGTGGTTAGGACTGTGCGCTCTCACCCCGAGGGTTCGGGTTTGATCCCTGGTCGGGGAACTAAAATCCAGCAAAAAAAAGAGAAAAGATACAGAATCTAGGTACTTTAAAAAAAAGAGAGGTAATACCTTTATATTTGGGGGAGAGTGCCAGGGGTGACAGTGGAGAGGTTTGGGTCAGAAATAAATTTGGTACTTGCCAGGGCACGTTTTACTAGGCTGCCTTTAAAGTTCATAATTGCTTTGAAGTATAGAGTCACTCTTTTTTTTTTTTTTTTTTTTTTTTTGCAGTCCGCGGGTCTCTCACTGTCGTGGCCTCTCCCGTTGCGGAGCACAGGCTCCGGACACGCAGGCTCAGCGGCCATGGCTCACGGGCCCAGCCGCTCCGCGGCATGTGGGATCTTCCCAGACCGGGGCACAAACCCACGTCCCCTGCATCAGCAGATGGGCTCTCAACCACTGCGTCACCAGGGAAGCCCTAGATTCACTCTTAATAGCCAGAAGATGGCTTCAGTTAAAAAAAAATTTTTTTTAATTGAAGTGTAGTTGATTTACAAGGTTGTGTCAATCTCTGCTGTACAGCAAAGTGACTTAGTTATACACATATAGACATTCCTTTTTTATATTCTTTTCTGTTATGGTTTATCCCAGGATATTGAATAAATGGCTAAACTTTTAAATTCCTGTTTGAAATTGAGTCTAGATCTCCCTAACCCCCTCTTCTTAAAGTTGCTAATCTAAGCCATGTCCTCATACTATGTCACATCCTGGGTCAACATGAAAAGTCCAAGCATAGTTGTGACCTCAGTGCCAGCTGTGGGTTCTCATGGGGTGTTTATCAGGCAGCCACCTTGAGCCATACATGGTGGGTGCTGGTGCTGGGTATGAAGGCGTACATCCTCCTTCAAAATTACCTTCTCACTTTTAATTCATATCACCTTCTCTTTCAGTATATTAAGGCAAATTAATAGCTCTTGGAAAGCTGCCAAAATGGGTCCCAGGAGCCTTAGTACTGTAACTACGTTCTCAGCTGGAAGAGTTGGGAATCCATCTCTGTTTGCCAACTTGGACTGTTGTATTTATGTGTTTGTTTTTTCATTTCCACAATGAAGTGCCTCCTTCCCCGACTTTGTCATATCCGGAAGGCTGTATGTGTGCATGGGAAAGGTTGGAGGAATCACTTTATTTCTTCAAAATCCCACCGCTCTCTTGTCTGAACACCTAACCTTCTGGAAAGAGAACAGGGTCCTTCCTATCCGGGCCCTTTGTCCAGCCTCACAGATCTGGACAAGCAAGAGGGATAAGCTATCTGGGCTGGGCTTGGGGGGGGGGGCGGGCAGGGTGCAGTTCTCCCTGTAAATGGGCACCCCCTGCTGGACCTTGGCGCCAGCTGGGGCGGTTAATGCCTGCTGGACCTTGGCACCAGCTGGGGCGGTTACCTAGGATGGCTAAGGAGTATTTCTCTGCCCTGTTGCTCATGAACTCAGGAGCGAGGTGCATGCAAGTACTTCGTTACCTCTAAGAGTTAAGTACTGGTGTTTGCAACTGATTTAGTTTTTCAAAAATGTCAGCATTTCAGTGTTCTCTGTAGAATAATAACAGCCTCTGTGATTTGGGGGCGATGGCCCCTGAGGGCATGGGTACCGCCCACTGACTCCTGCCTAAGCTCCGCCCACCGACTCCTGCTTAAACGCCACCGCTTAGGGCTGCATTCTCAGCATAGCCGCTTCTAAGGCCTGGCATGCTGGTAAGATGCTTTTTCTAATATCCCACATAGAACAGTGCTCCGCTATGATAGTTTTGGATCTCTTTCATGTCTCCGTCTACCCATGGGAGTGTGTTATGTTGGTGATCAGCGGAGATGGTATGTCTGGGTGGAGAAATGTCGAGAGCAGGTGGGCGAGGAAACTCGGAGCGATGGTGATGAAAAATGTATCTGTATCTTCTAGAGGTGACACGATTGCAAAGGCTTCTTTCCTATCCCATTTACTCCTCGTTACAACGCCGAGGTGGATGGTATTGTTATTCCCAGTTTCCACAGTAGGGAGACTGAGGAATTGGGAGGTTGTGAAAGCTGGCCAGGGCCACGCACAGCTAGCCACTTGCGGCAGGGTAAGGATTCGAACCCGGGTGGTCTAGGTCCCGAGCCCGCGTTAGCTGGACTGTGCTTAGTTGTTTAGGCTAGCAAGCTCACCCTGTACTGGCCAGCGCCGGCTTTCCAACCAAAGCCAAGAGGAGTCTTAGGCACTCAGGGGTTGGAAGGGACCTCAGGGAGATCTCCCTGCATCCTTTCTCTTTGTAGCTGCGGTCCTGGAGGTGCAGGGAGGTAGAAGGACTTGCTCGCAGTCCCCCTGGCTGACAGCAGTGGCCAAACTGGGCCTTGGTCCGTCAGGAACAGTGACAACAGCTGATAACAGATGTGTGCCTGCCTTGTTTAGAGAAATGACCCAGGAAGAGAATGGGATGGTCATTTGGCGTCTGTCCCACCCACTCCCAGAACCCTGTGTGCTCACACCCAGCCTCATCCTGCAATCTGGTGGGGAACAGGTGGGTGTGCCCCACTCCTTTCTCCAGCCCCAAATGGGAGGACGTAAGCAACTTACGTGCCTTTACATGAGGTGCTCCCTTGCTCACGTCACCTTTTAAGTTTGACGTCTTAGGAATTTGGCCTCGGATGGATTTTACATTTCACTCTTAAATATTCATTTTCTCTCTCTCTCTCTGTCTCCCTGTGTCAGTCTCTGCAGCTGTGTCTTACAGCTCCT